CATTCGTCGCGCGGGTCGGGCAGGGATCGGTGGACGGAGATCATGTCCGACACGTACTGGTTGAAGGCGTTGTTTTTCCAGCCTTCGTCCACCTTCTTCTTGGTCTCAGGATCGAGGTCCTTCGGGAGCACCACGGGCTTGCCCATTTCTCCGGGGCCGTTGGGCTCCTGGGGAGGCAGGAGGACGCCTTGCTGGGGATGCACCTGCTCGGGAGAAGGAGAGGGGAAAAGGGGCTTAGTCAAGAAGGATTCCCTGGTCCTTTTGAGCTCGCTCGGGACGAGGGGACGACGAAAAAAGGGGATCATAATAATAACATTTTCATTTTATTTGCTCCTCTTAAAATTCAAAGGACTTGCAAAACTCCTAAGACGTAATAACAGGCTTAAAAGGTGGGTCTGCATACATCACAGGTCCAGGAAGGAGCCAGTGACCGCTGCCAGGAGTACGTGATCTGCCTTGCTCTGTGAAGCCAGGCTTTGAACAACGAACTTCCTTTCTACTCATTTTTTTAGGACGGACGCTCTTAACATAGGGATAAAAAATACAGGAAGGAGATGAAAAGGGAGAGGCAGACCAAGACGGAACATTGGACGGGAACAAACAAGGGAGGGAGGGAGGGAGGGAGGGAGGGAGAGGGAGAGAGAGGGAGAGAGAGGGAGAGAGAGGGAGAGAGAGGGAGAGAGGGAGGGAGGGAGGGAGGGAGGGAGGGAGGGAGGGAGGGAGGGGAGGGAGGGAGGGAGGGAGGGAGGGAGGGAGGGAGGGAGGGAGAGAGAGAGAGAGAGAGAGAGAACGAAACGCACGCTCATTCTGACCTCATGCGGCTCCTCCGTCTTGGTGTGCGTCTTGACCTCCGGCGGCGGAGGCGGCGGCTGCTTCTCGACGACGGGCGCCCGCGGGTGCACGGGCGGCGGCGGCGGCGGCTCCTTGACGGGGTCGTTGCGGATGACCTTGTTCTGCTCGTGGCGCACCTGCACGGCGGGCGGGAGGTCCATGGCGTCGCCCTTGTCCGCCTTCTCGGAGAGCGTGACCAGGCTCACCAGCAGCCACAGGGCCGGCAGCGCCACCACCAGCTTGAGCAGCACGCCGCGCCGCCGCACCAGCATCGTCTTGATGAAGACCATCCTGCTGCAGGAGGAGGCGGAGGATACGGAAGAGGAAGAGGAGGAGGAGGAGGAGGAGGAGGAAGGGGAAGGCGGAGGTCCGCTACGGCCGCGCCGCGCCGCTCACTCTCGCGTTGGGGCCTCCTTCCGGACACTTGCGGAGGGCGTGGAGTCGTTCCGTCCGGGCGGAGCGGAGGTCGTTCCCCTAAGCCGACAGACAGCGCTGGTCGTCCCTCTCTCGGCTCTCAGGCGTCACCTGCGACACATCACTGCCACCTGCGGGAACAGACGGAAGGGGGTAAGTATCATTTTTACTCGTTCTTTTTTTATTTTATTTCCACAACTTTTTTTTCTAAATTCTCTCATTATCATAGTCTTCACGTTACAGATGTAATCGAGAGCAAACAGATCAAACGGTTTAATTAAACTTCCGGTCGAGATGGAAAAGGAGTTAATTACATCACCCCGAAACTCATCAAAATTATAAAAAAAAAGAAAAAAAGTGAGGTACGTGTCCCACTACATACTATTGGTACCCTTCACTTGTACGTTGGTTTTGCTTCTATCTATTTATCTATCTATTTAAGGCTCCCTATCACCCTTTCTTTTTCTTTCTTTCTCATTCCCTTTCTCTCCTTTTCTGAGGCTTGTAATCAAAGGGAAAAGATAAATAATTATGAATGCATGCTTCTGATTCGCCTTGAGATTTCGAAACGGGAATAAACGTACCAACTTAAAACGAAAAAATGACAAAAAATATATATATCGAACAAGAAAAGCAATATAAAAATTTAAAAGCGAGAAAACAATTCATTATCCAAGTCAACAAAAAATCTTTACGAAGCGCGAGACAAACAAAGAATAAATAAACAGACACAAAATACTGCAAGAAGAGGCGGAAAGAAGGAGCGCACGATAAACATAAATAAGCAAAAATGGGGGAAGGATGGAACAAGAAACGCAGAATAAACTCAGATAAGGAGGAGGAAGAGGAGGGAAGAAAATGAAAAAAAAAATAGAATAAACCGAAGTATAGAAGAAAGAAATAACTAGCGGGCTAAAGATTTTCTTCGACAACCACACGAAAAAAATAAAATAAATAAATAAAAAATGAAAGAAAAAAAAGAAGAAAAATGTCGAGCATCAGCATGTTCGAAATGCGAAAACTTCAGACTCCTGCATTTTACTTCTTAAAATGTGCGGTCTAATGTAAGCTTTACATCTATAAAGAAAAAGATTTTTTTCCTGCATACGCAACACAGGCATGCGAAATAAACATGACGAATGAATATGTAAACAATGATGTAATGAGGAAGAATATGTTTTACATTTTGATGATGGGAAGGAAAGAGGCGAAACACGAGGAAAAAGAGAGGGAAGGACGGAGGGAGGGAGAGAGA